AGGGGAGTGAGTGGGGGGGGGGGGTAGACGATAACATACAGAGGCTTTAATAATAGCCAAATAATATTAATAATAATAACATGTATGGGAATATAATTCGGGTTTCTAACCTAAAGAAAAGCAGATAAATGCCTCTCTGTTGTGCGTTTAGACTGGCGTTACCGGCCCTACTCTCACTTCATTTAATAATGGAGCACTTGATTTTAAGCGTCAGTGCAAATCGATTATTATATGCGAGTCTACTGATACTATAGATGATGTAGTAGTATGAGATAAGGTAATTGATAGGCGGTTGTATAATCACATTGTAAGTTCTTTGTTCTTTTTGTGTGAGTGTGTGTGAGTGTGTGTGTTTGCACTTATTGATTGAGTCCATGGTTTTTGCGTTGATGAGAAACGACTGATGGTAGTATGCTGCATTATATACTGTTGTTATTATTGTACCAGGAGCAATAATAGACGCTGTTGCAGTACTAGTGTTCGTCTTTAACGGGCTGCTGTTATGTCTTTTTTTGTCATCAACATTTCCAGGCAGGAAAGTGTGTTATTTGGTCAGCAGCACTGTGGTGGTTAAATGCTACTGCAGCATACTTGGTAGTTCAATCATTCAGATTCAGTGGCTTTTGCCTCACAGCCACACGTTTGTACAGCATAGGAAGGCAGCGCCATCCAGTGGTGATGAGTTGTATTGTGCCTCACATTTAAACACGACCTGCAACAACTTATTTAACTAGGCAGCCTATCGTAGTGTATATAGTCTTTAATACAATTTATTTCATTTCATTTTATCTCATTTATTTATTCATTTGTTTCCTTACTTGCAACATGTACATTTACCCTCTGCAACTAATAATTAGAATTTAGGAGTCATTAAGGTTTTCAGTTAAGCATTGTGGCAGGATTTATGCATTTAGTTAGTCAAACAACTGGACAACCAAGTAAACAACTCTGACCCGTAGTGTTTGTGAACACTCTTTGATATCTGTCTGCACACTCAACCAGTTTTACCTACAGTCTATGACAGTGGTTCCCAACCTGGGGGTCGGGAGCCCCACTAGGGGCCGCCAAAGCTTCAAGGGGGGTTTGCGAGGCCTTCTTGATTTAAAGGGGTGTAAGAAAAATAAATATAGGCCTATATCTCAGTCGTTTTTTTTTTATTTCTGTGAAGAAAACTAAATGAAATAGTTATTTTTAAAGTTTATTATTTAAGATCTAAACTTGAAGACATGAACACAACCTAGTCTTCACTCTGCTAAACAGCATCGTCTTAAAACAACCAATTCAATAGAACAATAAGAAGAAAACACTAAATTTATCAAAAAAGAAGCCTATTAAGAATATAATAATGATATTGATCAAACTGCTTGTTTTACACAAACTTCCTGCAGTTATTGTGTTCACTGTTTATGTTCATTGTACAGTTTATCAGTTGTTCTGTTGTTATGCACTGAAATTAAAATGAAATATCTATAAAATCTGTCTCTTCGTCTGGGGTCGTCAGTTTTCTCAATGATCCCTTAAGGAAAAAGGTTG